CAAGGACTCACAAATTAGTCTGTAGGCTTCTTTGGGGGTATTCCCCAGGGGAGCAAGGCAGCCTGTGTGAAAGGGGAATAGTTCAGAGAGAGAGCTTTAGGTGAAGCAAGTGGCATGGCAGAAAAGCTGGACAGTTATTTGACCTTTGGGCCTCAGTTTCCAAAGTGTCTGATTGCATTTTTTGCTAAGTTGGGTATGGGGTGGGGTGTCAGCATATCTTCCAACACTCACACCTGTGATCCTAGTATCTTCTTATCTCAGCCAGAAGAGACCTTAGAGATGATCTGATCAACCCCCTAATTTATATCAATGCTGATGGCAGACTGTGGATTCTATTCTATCTCTTGGTGAGGAAGGGGGCTCCTCTATTACATTTTTATTGAGTTGTTTTTCAGTTGTGTCTGACTCTTTGTGACCCCTTTTGTTTTTGTTTTTGTTTGTTTTGGGGGGTTTTTTGGCAAAAATACTGGAATGGTTTGCCATTTCCTTTTCTAGCTTATTTTACAGATGAGGAAACTGAGGCAAACAGGGTTAAGTGACTTGCCAGGGTCCTACAGCAACTAAGCTTCTGAGGCCACCTTTGAACTCAGAAAGATTAGTCTTTCTGACTTCAGGCCTGGAGCTCTTATCAATTGTGCTACCTAGCTGCCCAGCTCTGTTACAGTAGATTGACAGCTACATAGCATGTGCATAAAGGTTGGTCTGTAAAGATCTTGCCTGATGTTGGGCTGGAAGCCAACATGGGAGCCAGGGTCATCTCCTTAATAATGAAAACTGACCATATAGCACTTCAAAGTTTAAAAAAAGTCTTTGCTTGTATTCATGCCTCTTCACAACCCTGTAAAGGAGATACCAGAGGTATTATTATTCTTATTTTACAAGTGTTCAGGGTAGAACTGAAACCAATCTCTTCCTGATTCCCTGATCCTAAAGATATGTAAACCAAGACTAGATAAGCCAGGAGTAGCATGGAAGGGATTTTTGCATTGGGTTGAGTTCTGAATCAGGTCATCTTTAAAGTCTCCCCCCAGCCCTAGGAGTCTATAATTGTGATGGGGCTACACTGATCCATATCTATTTCTTCATTTACTCATCAATCCGTCTTTCAAAGGCTTTGTTAAGTAGGTTGCCCAGGGCCACTATTGTGCTCTTCAAACTGGAGCCAGAAGCTAGCTTAGTCCTTATAATTGAGATAAGCAGACTGAACTATATCTGATCCCACAGCTGTCACCATTACTTAGTCCTGCAGTGGTATATGCTGGATGGGACTAGTGTAGCCACTCACTCCAGTTGAAACAAGTATCTATTACCTTTCCCTTCCCTTCCCTCCCCTACACACACACACACACACACACACACACACACACACACACACACACACACACACACACACACACACACACAAGCACCTCAAGACAAAAGCTTTAGTACCATTTAAGCAGAATCTTCCACTCTCTCTTTTCACTCACACAGTCTTTTGACATCCAATAAAGCTCTACACCCTTCAGTCTCCCTAGTTCTCTCCCAATTCTCTATTAACATTCCATTCTGTCTTCTCCAAGGCTGATCCCTACATCTACCACCAGATCCCCCACAACAATCTGCCTATTCCCCAGCACTCCTAAGCAACCCTGTAGACCTCCCTTCCCCAATTGTTCCCTTCTCCAACTGATAGTAGAGGAGTAAAAGATGGGGAGGGATCTTTCCAGTGCCGTGAATGCACGTTCATGACTCTCCTTCCCGTCTTGAAGCATTCTAATCAGCTCATAGGCAAGAAAGGCACTCATTTTTCCTCCCTTTGATGACAAGGGAAGCATGAAGTTGTCATTGCTGAAATGGAAACTTGACTTTTCCATCATTTTTCAATGCTCATTAAGCAGAAGTTGATTGATTTCTGATATGAATTCTCTAGACCCAGGGTCTCAAGCCTGCCATGGGCAGGCTATTCCGCTATAGGTTTCATACTTAGGTGTGAGACAAAGAGAATAATTAAAGTAAATAAAAGAATCAATATCATTCCATCATGCTGTGGATTGTATGTTATCCATCATTATTTACTAAATCAGTACCATATTCATCAATTGAGAGGAGAGAATAGGGTATTTAACAAGATAAAGAATAGCAGTAGATTTGAAATTATAAGACTTAGCTTCAAGTTCTGATTTTGCCAATTACCAGCAATGTGACCCCAAACACATCACTTGACCATGGTAGGGCCTCAGTTTCCTCATATGCCAAATGGGAAAATAACACTCACACTACCTACTAACAAGATAGTTGTGAAGTAAATGCTTTTTAATCCTTTAAGCGCTATGGAAATGAGACATTATTCTTTTCTGTATTTATTAATAGTATAGACTCCTCATGTTAAGGAATGACTTGGGTAAAAATAATGTATGTGAATAAGAATTAAAATGCCACAATAGTTTGATTAATAAATATCCTGGAAAGAACACTCCAATGTAATAAAATCTATATTAGGAATCCTCTCCAGTGGGCAGAGGTGCTTGCCTTGTGATTTCATTGGTAGAGCAGAATCCCACATGAAATCTATTCTACTAGCTCAGGCCAGCACCTTCTCAACTAGAGTTGCCAATAGCACTGAAGTACTAAGTCACTTACCCAGGGTGGTATAGTCAGCATGGAGCAGAGGTTGATGTTAATCTACAGTCTTCCTGCCTTCCAGGCCAGTCTGCTATGTGCAACGCTGCCTCTAAGTGAATTCTCACATAGCTTCCTTTCTGATTTCATTCTGTCAACCACCTCTGGTAATTGAAGCCCCAGACAGTAGCTGACTATTATATCCTGAGAGTTCTAATGGTAATTCTGAGAGATTGGAATGCTCTAATAATATCAGTCATGGGCCCCATATAGCACATCCCCAATATCAATCAGACATTTGATAGGAATTAGCTTTTACAAAGGCATATTTACTGAGTAAGTATAACAAGGACAGAAATTATGAAAAACATCTCCCCAGACTGGAAGGCTCACTCATCCATGGGCTGAAATTTGAAGCACAAAGGGGTACCTCTTGGCCATAGGAGTCATCTTCTTCCCTTATAGGGTCCCCACCTAGTTAGTTTCACCATGAGGCACTGAGTGACAGAGAAGTCACTCCATTGATCAGGTGGGACTGAGCTGCTGGACCACTGCACTGTGATCTGGGTCAAGCAGATTTCTTGGCTGCTACTTAAGGTCTTCATTGGATTCAGCTGCTGCAGCTACTGGCCGACCCTACTACCAGCTCCATTTGCCAGGTATCTGATGTCTCTTCCAGCTTTTCAAGGTTCATCTCTAAGTATGCAGTCATCTATGATCAGGAAAGAATAACCACAGTAGACAAAAGAAAGAGGCACTATTCATTCATGGATGCATGATGGCTGGGTGGGGGATGGATGTCCCCATCCAGTAACTCACATTAGTTATTGCTTTTCTTGCTTCCAGGCAAGAAAGACACCACTCACTCAAACATTTTGTGTCCACTCAATTCCGTCTCAACTTCTGTTGAGCCAGCTCCATAGACTCTGAAGCCAGTTAGAAAATTCTTTATCAACAACACAGAACCATTTCCTCAGTCATTCGTAGCTAAAGAAGGCTCATCAAGTGCCCATGTATTAAACTGGAAGTTAGTAGGGAATATTGCTCAAGCTTTAAGGACTAGGCCATCATTGGCCATTTCCTTATTACACCTGCATATCCCTTTATATTTTTTGTTCTCTTCTTTCCCCTCTCTCACCCTCCAGTTAACAAGCATTTATTAAGCACATGCTATCTGCCTTGACTATGCAAAATGCTGAGGTTACAAAGAAAGTAAAAAAAAATAAAATTAAAAAAAATACCAGTCCTAAGACTGACTCTAGGAAAAGGTGTAAATAGTACCTTCTGTGTTTCTGGCCACTGTTTCCTCAACCTGCTTTTTTCACCTTGTTCATTCATTCCACTTCATTCTAACCTATTCAGAAAAGGAACAATTTCATTATTGAGCTATGTTATTGGCTATTTCATTTCAATTCGTTTCAACTCAATTCAGCAAACATTTTTGAAGAATGTACCATTAACACTGCGAGATGCTGGAAGCATGGAGTGACACAGTGTTTGGATTTAGATATGACAGCCCCTCATGTTCATGGAAAGTCCAGTCTGACATAGGGATAAGACTTATACTGGAAACAGAAAACAATGGCATGCCATATATTATCCATAATAAATACATTAGAGACATAGGAAGAAAAATGTTACAATTGGAAGCACATATGTGAGCACATTTCATTGTGATGCTTTAATTAGCATATGTAGTTTAACTTTCTTAGCTTTTTATCTAGAGAAGTATAGATTTCTCTATAGATCTATACAGTTTATGCTTTTAAAGGTATTTACAGAAACCAGCAATCAGGTGCAAAGTGATTTTTAGGAGTGGAGAATAGCAATCCATTTAAGGGTACACAGCTGGATTGTCACCTCCTTACCTCTCTATTTTCCCAACTATTACTAGAGGCCTATTCCCAGAAGCTACAAGGGGAAAGGAAATGTCCCTTGTCAGTCATTTCTTGAAAGGTACCCTTTCACAGATTCCTTGCCAACCGTTTAGTCCCCTCCTCTCCATTCCCTACCTATGTATTTGAGAGCAATTTGAGCTTCACTCTGACTTTTACATACACCCAAACCATGCTTTCCTCTGTCCCAGCACTCTCACATGTTGATTTTATATTTTTCACTTCTTTTAGTATTATTTTTGTTAGCATTTAATGATATGTTTGTCTGGTATCCTCCTTCCTTATCTGACATTCGAGAAGGAATGTATCCATATTGCTTGTATGTTATTTTTGCTTCAGATGATAAGGTTTCTGACAAAGAAGTGTCTTTAGAATCCATTTTTGTTCATGGAGAGATTAATGTATTAGCTACCTACATTTTATCAATGTGATTGTTATGACTTATTTTAACATTTCTTTTTTTTCCTTTTTTCCTTTTTTTTTACCTCTTGTTTGTTTGCACAGATATTTCCTGGACTTATTCTCTCAGATATAAAACCAGCCAAAAGGATGAAGTTCAAAACGGTCTGTTACTTATTGGTCCAGCTAATGCACTGTCGGAAGATGTTTAAAGCAGAAATCCCGTTCTCCAATGTCATGACCTGTGAGGATGATGACAAGGTAGTACAGAGACTTCCAGTGGTCTGTTTGTGGGTTGCCCATTTCTGCTTCAAAGGGTAATAAATAGATTAGAAAGAAAAGGGAGAGCTCCTCTCTAGTCCACTACTCTATATGAGGTTTTGATCAAATATATTCATCTAAATTTAAAAGAAAAAAAAACCTTCAGGAAAGGGGATTCCAAAAATCTCTTTTAATAGTGTCTTAAAACATTTACAAATTTTCCCTAACTTGCAATTAGGAAGTTCTTAGTGTCCCTTAAATCTGAATTGCAGTCCAAGATGTGAGGCCCTTTTGTTGCAATTATATGGTTCAACTTGGTATTTTTCATGAATGTGGATTCAGTGTAGGGGTATTAAGAGGCTAATCATTATATCATTTAGCTGGAGTCCACATCTCACTTTGAATCTGGGAACCTTTAATGTCAAACTTGGGTCTAGATATCCTGCTTACCACTATTAACAGATCAGATCAACTAGGAATCATATATTGAAATAGTGAAATATTTGATTGGGACAGAACCATAAAGAAATGACTATAAAGAAAATTTCTTAGCTTTTATTTCCAAATTAATGTGTTATTGATTATCATTATTGATTCTTACCAGAGAAACTGAGGAAAAACAGCTTCTCTATAACTTGAGAGTCAAGTTGTGAAAGCTTGTTTAGGTTCAAGACTCTGTCTCTGGATAGCTAGAAGGTATCATTTGTTGTCCCTGGGGCAGGATACTTCAGTGAAAGACTGAGACTGTGCTTATTGTTGTCTTTCCCCTTGACTCATCTCAGCACTCCTGATCTTATAACCAGTTTCTTTCCCCTGTGGCTCCCAGTCATGCTGTCTCCATGTAGATGCATTATCAATGCATGGGGCATGGGGGGAGGGGACTTCTTCTTGTACTCTTTCACTAATAAGCTGACCAGAACAGAAAACCCCCTTGATTTCTTCTGTATTGAGGGGTAGGATGGGGTCAGGAGTGGAGAATCTCTCTTCTGGTCAGGGATTTTTTTTCTATGCTGGAAGGGTAATAAATTCCTTCTCCTAAGGGAAAGGAATATATAACATTCTAGGCCACACTCCTGAGAGCTGCCAGTTAATTATACTTATTATACTGTCTGAAGAAAAAAACAGAATGACAACAATACATATTATTAATCATCACACACTGTTTTAAAAATGTTTTGAATCATATCATAAAGTCTTTAAACTTGTCTGTTTAAATAAATCCATTTCTCTTATGCTTTCTTCATAGGGGGTTACTTTCCAAATTTTAAGTAATTGTTCTTCTTTAATCTTTCTATAAGTTATTCTTCAAATAATAGAACCCCAAATTGGACAGAACATTATGTTTAGAGGAAGATGACCAGGGTTAAAATCCTGCCTCCATGACTATAGACAAATCACTTAACTAGCTGTGTGACCCTGGGCAAGTCACTTAACCCTGTTTGCCTCAGTTTCCTCATTTATGAAATGAGCTGGAGAAGGAAATGGCAAACCACTTCAGTACGTTTGCCAAGAAAACCCCAAATGGGATTATGAAGAGTCAGATGTGACTGAAACAACTGAACAACAACAACAAAGTGAGGAGGTTTACTTATATGATGAATAATTTTTTTTTTCAGTTCTGAATGTTATAGTACTATAGTACTATGTGCTATACATAAAGTCCCTCTTTAAGTGATGAGCTCTAGAAAGACAGATTGATAGACTAATGGACTCCAATTCAGAAGAACTAGATCTGAGTCCTGACTGTAATTTACAATCCAGGGCCATGGCCATGGCCAAGACCTCTTTGGGCCTTCGTTTCTTCATCACAAAATGAGGCAGGTGAAGGTACACTGCATCATCTCTAAAGCCCCTGCCAACCATCACATTTTTTAAGATTGCTAAGGTCCCTGTGAAGTTGAGTATTGGTAGGATCACTTTTCAAGTATCTAAAATAAAGTTCAAGAGGTCAAACAAAATGTGTGAAGGTCACTTCAATGGAGGAGGCTCACTTGAAAGGAGTAGGAACTATTTTTCTCCCAGTGATGGAAGTATATCTTGCACTCTTTTGTCTCCTCTCTTCCAACCTGAGTGTCAGGAGAGGGCAGCAGATGGAAATCTGCTGGACTGTAATGTGCTAGATTAGGTTATGCTGGATAGGGAAGAATAGACCGAACTGTGATAATCAGAGGCAAGGTTAGGTTTATAGTCTCTCCCTCCCAACCCACACTCAAATGCCCTGTCTCCCCTTCCTCCAAAGAAAAAACCCCAATATCATAATTCAACCACTGGTTACCTATGGTATCACACTGGCAGCAAAGGTGGATACAGAAATTATTTTCATATGAGACTCTATCATTGGAGAGTATGTATAAGGGAAAGAGTATTGATCTTGGATCAGAGATCTGCTTTTATGCCTCACCTCTCTAGGCATGTGTCATGGAGCAAGTCATTTATGAGTCCTCAAATCATCTGTGCCTCAGTCTCCCTACTGCAGAGACATATGTACTACCTACCATTCAGAACTGTTATGAGGAAAGCTCTTTATAAACCTTAAAGTGCTAAAAAAATGTGAAATTACTATTAATGTCATTAATAATAATAATAAATCCAACATCATATAAACACTGGACAATATTACCAAATATAAGTTTTATTCTTCACTCCATAATCTACTTCTTTCCTCTCCCCTTTCTCGCAAGGACCTGCACAGAAAATATTTGGTGAAATTTTAATTTCACTTACCCATCTGGAAGTCCTTATCCTTAGGGATCCCATGGCTTTGGAAATAAGAGCTCCAAGCAACAAACCTATATTATCTAAGGTTCTACAACCTTTCCCTGGTGTGCTCTCAGCTGAAATGTCTTCAAAATTATTCCCCACTTCCCACTAAAACCTCTTGTTTACTAGCTGGCTTCCATTATCCCTATTCTGTCTATTAAAGTAATTGACAATAGAACAGGAATGATATCGGTTTAACCATCCCTGCAGTATTGTAGCCAGAAAGAAAAGTCCATTAACCAGAATAAATCCCTGAATGGCACAGATGTGTAAGGGACATAATTTTGAGCCATCTTTTATGTCCCTGGACTATTTCATTTCCTATTCTATTTTGCCAGAGTAAAGGACTTAGAATTAATATTATTTAGAATGATATAAAGGTATCAAAGTATGATGGACAGATAGCTGACTTCAAAACCAAGAAAACTCAGGTTCAAGTCATGTCTCTGGACACAACCTGGCTACATGACTGGGAGTGAGGTTAATGTTTAATTAACTCTATAAGTCTATAATTTGCAAGAGGTGCTGACCTGCATTGGTAGAGGGAGTCGCCTCACCTGGGAGTTCACTATACCAATAAAATCATAGATTTATCCCTACTGAAATATAATATAACCACATGTCATCCACTGATCCTTCCTCATATTTGCCAGTGGCTTTCTACCTAAGAGCAAAATCAAATGATCGCTGTTAATGAATGCGAACATGTATCAGTACAGTTGGTATTCAAAATATGTAAAGCAGTAATAATCTTTTTTATCATTTATATGGCACCTAAAATAGTTGTAAGTCTCTTTATAAAGCAAAACCTGCAAAGCACTTTAGACAGATTTTGTCACTGGATCTTTACAACAACACGAGTTAAGTGCCGTTATTATTCCCCTTTTTACAGATGAGGAAGCTGAGGCTGAGAAATGTTCAGCGACCATGGGGGCATACTGCTAGTATCTGGGTAACATTTGAACTCTGATGTTTCTGATGCCAAGTTCAACTGTCTATCCACTATGCCACCTGGTGAAGAAGGAAGATGTTTTAACATCCAAATTCCTCAGCTTCTATACTCAAATAGGGACAAAATCGGTATACAGTGAGATGAAATAGTACATTCTAGTCTATGTATACTCCTTGTTCTTACTCTTATTTACATTGTGATCCCCGTATAACTCTCAGATCTTTTTTCTGTTCTCTCTACACTAAGGTAGTCTTGCCCTGTTTAATATCTCTTTAACATTTTTTCCCTTGCCTCATATGCTAGGTCTTGTCACATAAGGTAACAAGAACACACAAAACACTTTAGGTTTTACAGATTCTTTACTACTTTTCCATTGTAAATGTATAAGTATTTCAATCCTTTACAATGTGTTCTTGAATCTTTTGTGGGTTAATCTGGAAGCCTCATTACTATATATCTTGTGAATTTCAAGCAATTGATTACCAAATCAACTTTTGAAACAAAATCCATTCCTATTTAGGGAGTATTGCCATTAGCCTTCTGCAGCCTGCCAGCCACTTATCAAACATTTAATCAGTGCTTTCCATGTTCAAGATGTGGTTGTAAGTTCTGGTAATGTTGAGATAACATTTAGAAGGAAGTAGTCCTTGCCTTCAAGTAGCTTTTGAACTATGGAGGGAATATATTGTGCACAAATATATGCAATGCAAGGTAGAATGTGCATGGTAAGGGCAAAAGAGACCCCCAAAGTGTTCTTAGAAAAATTATTTCACGGACATTAACCTAACCAGAAATTTAGGTATGCAATTATGGCTGGAAGAGACCAAGATGCTTTCACTTCATTTTCTGTGCCAGTAGATGGAGTTGTTATGTGACCTGATGCTTGACTTCTGAGCCATAGAGGAGGCATTTGGGAGCTGCCATAGCAGAGATCTCTGCCTCTGATTCTATTGAGAGATTTTGAAAAGTATAAAAGGAAATGGCTCAATTTGTCACTGTTAGAATGTTCCCAGTTAGCAGGAATAGTAATAGTCATTTGACTTTTCATTTTATAGTATTTAGTAGTCAGTTCTCAAAGCAAATTCACATCAAGTACTTCCTCTGAGAAGGTGGTTTAATAGTCACATTTTGATTTTCTTTTTCTCATCTTTTCACTAAATTTTGTGACTCTCCTAGAACCTACCACGCAGAGAGCTATATGCAATGGTACTTAAAGACATTTGGCGAATTTTTAATTTCACTTACCCATCTGGAGGCCCTTATCCTCAGGGATCCCATGGCTTTGGAA